TGGCCGGTCACAACAGCCACGAACGAGCCCCCGTATTTCAGAAGTCACAAACGATCGGTGGTGGGTATAAATATCCCACCACCCATCGACCAGAAGAGACATGGTCACCACCACGAGAAAACAAAACAGTGAACAAACACTGCCAACAAACCATCTACACAGAACCAACAAGATCACAGAACCCACAAGGCACCACAACCGAACAGAAAACCAACATCATCAAGCCAAGATATCAACGAGGAACGTTGGACAGAAAACAAGGCATCCATCGAACACATCGAGGCCAAAAAAAATAAGCCAACAACAGGACATACAGAGATCAACAAGACACAACCAGAACGAGAGCCACAAAAAAATACCACTGTAGCAACAGAGAAATATAACAGAAACATATAACCCACGATTACGCCGAACATCAACCATCAACAAAAAAGAAGACATTCAGAGCAACACAAAATCAAAGCAAAAATAGCAACACAGCCACCGGAAATCGCAAGGGTTCGTCGATAAAAAGGTAAAACCCGAAAGGTTTTTTAGATCTGCTCTGATAGAGGTGTTTTTAGGACGTTTGAGGCTTGGTTTCGGGTACACGGTAAGGAGGGGAACATTTTGAGGTTAAGTTGGGTTTTCTAGCCGCCACGAGCGGCGGCCGGAAGAGGCGGCGGTGCGACGAGGATACCATCGGGCGGTGGCCTGAACTCGGCCAAAGAAGGAGAAAGGGGAGAGAGTTCTCACACACTCTCTCTCTCCTTTCAATTTTAAAGTGAGGAGGAAAATGAAGCAGGTTGGGCCATTTTGGCCTTAGTAATGCAAATATATAATTGGAGTTGAAACGACGCAGTTTTTGCCCAACATGTACCCATGTTTTCAAGACTTTAGGGGGTAATGGCATTTTGGTCCCCTTATGTTTGTATACTTTTATTTCAGTCATTTCATTAAGTTTCATTCTATTTAATTTTGAGTCTTCATATTTCAATATTTATATTTTCATCACTAACATTTTTTTTTCAAAATTTAACCATTTTATTTATTATTTGTTCTTATTTTATTTCTCTATTTTTTGTGTGTTTCTTTTTTATCATTATTTTTTTACTTAACTTTACTTGTCTTCGGTTTCACCTATTTATCTTATATATATATATATATATATTACCTTTTTTTGTTTTCCTTTTTATTTAATATTTTTTTCTTCTACTTATTTTTTTTACTTATTCCATTTTCCCTTTAATTTATCCAATATTTGTTTACTATTTGTTATCTAACATTTTTTTTTACATTTTTTAGAAACTCCAGCCAATCAAAGGTGAACAATTCGAATCGAATACTTTTAAATTTTAATTTTAATTTTAAATTTTCGCAATTAAGACAACCGACAAATTAATTGGTACCGAAAGGACGGTTCAAGGGTGCTAATCCTTCATTGACCGTAACCGACTCCCGAACCCGACACGTTTCTCGTACAATGCAGATCAGGTAAGATGGTGTCCGACCCACCTAAATTCGTTTTAAAGTGGTCGGTGGCAACTCCAATTCACTTAATTTAAGTCAAAACTCAATTTCGGGGACAACCCAAAAGACGGTTCCGACAGTTTGGATGTCCAAAATTGAATTAATCATCTAAATTAACCTAAACAAATGCATATTGTATGCTGTCATAAACCATGCATTAATTTATAAAATTCTAATGACAGCTTTTATATTATTAAGTAAATTTCATATATAAGAAGGGCTTAAGTATACAAAAGGTGCCTACTCTATGTCCGTTTTTTCAATTTAGTGTCTAACGTTTATTTTGTTCCAGTTTAGTGTTTAATATTTTATATCGTTACTCAAAGTGTGGGTAAGGCATGACATACCATTAAGTTTGGCCGTTAATCTGTTAAAAATGTCATATGGCATATTTTTATATTTAAAAATGATTTCTGAAAATAATAAATTAATTAAAATGAAAAATTAAACCTTTTAACTTTTTACCCATTAGCCTCAAATCATTTTCTCCTCTCCCCTTCACTCTGTTCCCATTCCTTCTGGATAATCTGAAAATTTGCAAGGAACCCTAATAATTCCCGTTTATCATTGCAATTGAGGAATGTGAAATCTGTTACTACCGAAAGCGAACAAAAAAATCGATTCCTTTTTATTTTTCAATCAAACTCATTAGAGTTAAGGAAGAAGTACCGTCGAAGAAGTGAAAGTGTTAGTCAAGGTCAAGTTTAAAGATAAGTCTAAAAAAGAAGTTTATGTGTGGTTTTGATTTTAATGGTGTAAGAATTTGCAATGGAAAACCCAGATTTTGCTTTGCAAAAATTGGCGTTCCTATTTTGAGTTCTAATTGAAGGACAGTGCTTCGAAGAAAAACAAAGGGTACCTAGAGAAAAAAAACTCAGAAGCTATGGATGGTAAAACTACTCGATCTCGGATCAAAATTTTAAGATTGTTTTAAACATTTGTGTTAATTAACGTTTTCCCTTTTGGCCTTTTGGTATTAAGGTTATTTTTTTTTAATTTCCTCAATTGAGAGTTTACTATAATATGTAAATAAACTTGCATATATGGAGAAATGTTTGGGAAAAAAGTTAGCAGCTAGATGTGCACATTTGTCGGATTTCAATCCGATCCGGATCAGTTTTTATCCGATCCGATTTTTTCCCATAGAAAAAAAACCGGTTTATAAAATAACCGGTTCGGTTTCTAACCGGTTTGGAGGGTCGGATATCCTAACCGGTGTAACCGATTTCGGTTTTAAAAAAACCGGTTTTTTTAAAAATCCGATTATAAAAAACCGATTTTAATATTCCAGATTGCTCATAGGGAACCGATTCCCCCCCAAGGGGGTACCGATTCCTCACTGAATGGTTTGGCTCCGAGATTTCCAGAATGCTCGGAGGGAACTGATTCCCCCATAGGGGGTACCGATTCCCCCTATTCAACGGTCGAAATATTTGAATTTTACACTTAGGGAACCGATTCCCTATGAGAGGAAACTGATTCCCTATGAGAGGGTACCGATTCCCCCACGCTCCAAGCATTTTTATTAAATGTTTTCACACTTAAACGGCTATATTATCTTCATTAATTATCACTAACGTTCAGAAGTGATTCAAGGTGTATTTAAGCAAGCTTAGAAGCCATTGATCAAAGACAAGAAACATCAAGCAACTAGAATCAAGAGAGAATCAAAGAGAAAGCATCAAACATCAAGTTCGATAAATTCAAATACTTAATTGAAATACTTAATTAACTTAACATAATTGAAATACTTAAATACTTCCAAGTTTGATAAATTCAAATACTTAAAAACTTCCAAGTTCGATAAATTCAAATACTTAAAAACTTCAAGTTCGATAATTGAAACAAAGTTTACGATAATTGAAATAAAGTTATAAAATAAACTATATTGCCATCTCTTTTTCATCATCTTCGCCTTCTTCGTTTGGAGGGGATATTCCAAGTTCGACTTCTTCAATGTGTAAGTTTGCTTCCAAATCGGCATCAATTACATCTTCTAGGGTGGTGATATGTTGCTTACGAGCCGCTCCATCCAAATAATCCTTTAAACAAATGCATACTTCCACCAACTCGGGACTTAGTCTTGATCTCCGTTGCGATATAACCCTGCCACTAACAGAAAAAGCGGATTCCGAAGCTACCGTAGAAGCTTGGACGGTTAGTAAATCACGGGCCATGGCGGCTAGAATCGGAAATTGTGCTTCCTTTTCTTTCCACCAAGCCAAAATATCCAAACTTTCAAACTCTTCAAATGTCATTTTTGATAGAAAATCGCATGACATGTAATTTCCCAACTCGCTACTTGGGGTGGTAGTACGTGATCGTTTGGATTGGGAATTTACAAGAGTGTTAAAAAGATTCAAATTTATGTTACTTGGACGTCTACTAGATGATTCCGCATTCATTCTCATTTGATCGTGTATTACACTACTTGATCCGTATTTAGTTAAATAAATTGCAAACATGTCTCGAAAACATTTGTTAAAATAATTTATTTGGTTTTGGACAAAGTTGGGTTCTTCATCGGTTAGATTAAAAGCAAACGCAATTTGTTCAATTAGTGTTTCAACCCCACCAACATTTAACGTTGGGTTTAAAGCGGCGGCACAAGTAAAAATGGGGGGAATCTCCTTAAAATATTTTAAAAGTTTTTCCTTCATTGCAAAGCCAATTTCTTGAAAAACTTCGGTTTCAAATTCAAAGTCATTTAGTCGGGTAGACAACAAAAATATTTGATTAAGAACCAACGGGCTAGTAGGGTAATAAACACCGGATAAAAAAGTTGTTGCATTTTTAAAAACCTCAAGCAAATCGGTTATTTTGGCTATAGTTTCCCAACTCGAATCCGGATAAAAACCGGTTTAGGTTTTTTCTCCAAACCGGTCTAGGTTTTTTTCTCCAAACCGATTAAAATAACCGGTTTAAAAAAATCCGATCCGGTTAAAAAAAACCGGTTTTTTCCAAATCCGATTTCGGATATTTTTTTCGCAAAATCGGATATTCAGATTTTTTGTGCACCCCTATTAGTAGCATCTGTAAATTTGTTTTTTAACCCCGATGGGTTGTTGGGAAAATGAAGAAATGTAAAATTCTAACCATGATTTTTGTTTCCAGCAAAAAAGTTAGGATTTTCTTCTTGAATTGTAGTCTTGTTTGCTTTAGAGTAATTTTGTTTTTAAGTTTTACTTTTAATGATTTAATGTTGTTTAGGGTACATTAGAGTGAAGTGCATTTTAATTAATTTCTTATTTTCAAAAATCATTTTTTAATATTAAAACATATTCCAGCGTGGCATTTTTAATGAATTAACGGCTAAACTTAACGGTCATTCATGACTTGACCCATTTTGAATAACGAAATTAAACATTAGACACCAAACTGGAACAAAATAAACGTTAGACACTAAACTAGAAAAAGGGACATAGATTAGACACCTTTTATATATTTAAGCCTATAAGAAGAATTGAAAGGCAAAAGACAGTACAATCATCCAGAATTGCATGTACATATAAAATACGTACCCAACATTCACTTGCATCTTCCCATCAACCAAAACAAGAAACTTGCTTGATATCTAGAAATCAATGAATTAATCTCACCACCCACGCCTTTCAACTCTCACACCCCCACCATTAGAGAGCATATTACCTATAGAATTGCAATACTACATATTTATACTCCGCTCTAGTTAGAAGTTGGTCGCCATCATAACTTATTCTCTACCCAGAACTACGCTATCGGCAACAAAAAAAACGAAAATCACCAAAGGTGCACGAGTTATAAGATGGGTCAGTGTCATAAATTTTCCATGGACTATGGCTAACTTTCATAGAATTACCTTAGAAAAAGGGTGGAGAATCTCCAACTTAAGAAGCTGAGATTTGATTGCACTGGGGCTTCGAAGCCTGATGAGCTTCTCTCTCGAACCATTTGGAGTAAGGGAAAGAAGTGCAATATTTTCTGACAGTGATAAACTTTTACAATGAAACCGATAGGCCTCTCACCTCATGACAGTATAGGAGGGAACTCAATCGTTTCTGTATCTAACCAAAAACCCCTTCTTCCTGGCAGACTCATTTTCTGATAGTGATCTGCCCCACTTGGACCCAATTGAGAAGTGGCGTTTCAAGAAAGATTTTGTCAAGGAGCTTCTCCAGCTTGAACTGGGTTCTAACTTCAGAGCTTTTCCTTCTCGCTTGGCACTTTGTTGATGGTTAAAATCATTACAACCAACTTCAACAAAGCTATCTTTAACTCTATTCTTGAATAACTTAAGACGTCTTGCCATCAACTCCGCTTCACCTCTCAAAGCTTTTCTGTATATCTTTGAGACCTGCTTTTCTCCAATCATACATATTGGGCAGGCTGGGTCATATTTCTCAGTCTCTGGTGTCATTGTCTCCAAGCATTCAGCATGATAAACATGTCCACAGATAAGTACCGCAGCAACTGAAATTTCATTGTTGCCCAATGAAGATCTCTCAGCCAAAAGCTTCGAGCAAGCCCCACAAGTTTGTGCATCTATGGATGGAGAATATGAGAACCTGCTGCTACATTGACTTATCTTGCCATCACCGGAACCAAAGTGTTCACTATCAAAAGACAACCTTTCTCTTTGAGAAGATGCCACAAGCTCAGAAAAAGTGCGCATGGACCAGCCATCACAAGAGCCACCGTAAGATCCAGCTGTCAAGTCATTGCTACATGTGGAGAGCACAAAAGATGACCTTCCTTCAGACATTGAATAATTATTTGGTGATTTCAGTCCGAGGATTCGACTATCAGAGACCTGCCTCAATAGCCGGTGCCCAGGTGAAAAGCAAGCACGTCTAGATGGGGTGGAATTGGAAGGAAGTAAATGACCACGGCCAGAAAAAGTTTTTGTAATTGGTGGTGAGAATGGTGAAGGTACACAAAATGATAGCTTTGGTGCAGATGAATCCACAATATCTGGTGATTCTGCCAAATTCTTTGCCTGAGAATAATCAGATGAGTGTGGTAAAGACCATCAAAAAGGGTAGAACAGGCTAGAGGATAAAGAGACATTACACAAGCTTTTTGCTTGTGCAACCATTGAGACTTACCTCAGTGGAATAATTGCTTGCCCTTGATATTTCTGCAGCAACAACACAGTAATATCAAACTCAGCACAAACAATAATAGCAAAGTGGGAACTGGTAACAAGCCCTATTGCCAAAAACTGCATCAGGAGAACAAAGAATAGGAGTAGGCAATAACACAATGCATATAACTAATAAATAAATAAACACGATGTTTTATGTTCATTCATATGATACTTAATTCAACTACTCAATACCATGCAATCCTGCAACCTAAAGGTGCATTAGTTGGGATTAGAAGACCATTAGAGTCTTCTGCATACAATAGACAAAATTATATATGACATAATTTCCAAACAATGAACATAGAACAAAAGTTCTAAGCAAAAGTTTCCTGAAATTTCATGTACGGTCAAGAATATTGATAAGTTACTTGAATATTAGCAAATAAATTTACCTGAAGAGGGGTTCATCATATTCCTTCCCGTAACTTCATGGATTGGCGATTTTTGAGAAGTGGGTGTTTCATAGTTCTCAATCCCAAGTGCACTTCCTTGATCGGAAACCTTACGCCTGCCAGAACCTAATGTCCCTCTCCTCTCCATGCTAACATTTCTGCTAACTCTATTAGACATCTGATAAGAAGGCTCTTCTATTTCATCAGCCACGCATCTTTGATTATCCCGGCGGAGACTCCATGAAGGCGAACATGTCAGATTTCTATGCAAAGTCTCACCTCCAGTTCTCTTTGGAAGGGTTCTGTCCCTTGCAGCTACGCAACAAACTGAACCCATAATCACTCATATACCTCAAAAAAGAATACTATTACAAATTCACACCACCGATTCTAGAACAGGAAACACAAGGTGAAGTACTGCAGAGAAGATAAACAGCAAGTATTTCCTGTAATACATAAATATTCTTTTAGGAAAAAACAACGGCGCAATATGTGGATTTCATAATTCAGAAAGATAAAACCAATGCAAATAACTAAACAAATTCAACACAACTACATGAAACTAACCACACTAGACTGGCTGAGTATTGTTTTTTAAAAAATAACAAATTTATTTCATTTCCCTAATTATTATTCCACGAGCTATTCCAAGAGCTAAAGAAAGGAGAAGTTTAGCATAAAAAATGAAAATGCAGTTAGTTACTTAGGACTTGAGAGTTATATGCTTTTAGGCAAAAACAACAAAGTGAAATTGAAAAATAATTAGTCACGAATAACACAGTTAAGCTGAGGTAAAAAAAATAATAGCGAAAAACCCCAGCTAGTTGAGACCATCTTCCTCAATTAATCATCCATACACCTGACGAACTCCAAATTTAGAATAAAATAATGTAAATTAAAACATTTAAGATGCCACTGTTTATATAATTAAAGCCTTCAACTACTTGAGAGCATAATTTTCGTTCGACTTTTACTAACTTAAAAAATTAAAAGAAGCAAAGAATCGTCGGTTCGAACATTTACAAGCTCTACCAAAAATCAAAAGTTGGAAGAAATCTGAATAACAAAAAGGGGGGGCGAGCTTCAATCAGGGCTCAGAAACGGCACTGTTTCGTATTCCACACTGAAATGATTCAAGCATTTCGACAGGAGAAAAATCGCATCCATAAAAAAGCGAAAATAACAAAATAATTAATTTAAAAGAAACTTACAGATTCAACAGTCAGACAGTCATACGGATGAAGAGAGATGGAGAGATTCGAACGGCGTCGAAAACTCCGATGGCGGTCAGAGAGGAACGGCGATGTCCACGATTGAACAACGAGAGAGAAAGAGTTGGTCAAAGGTCACGGATGGGGAACTGTGCCACGTCTATTCCAAGTGCAATTTCTGCTGCTTTTAACGCTCCTTCTCTTTATTTTTCTGCTGCCTTTTAATTTTTTTATTTATAGGGTAAATTCTATATATGACCAATTAACTATTTAGCTTTTCATTTTGACCGTCAGACTTTATTTTTATCAATCAGACTCCTTAATTATTTAAACATCGTCTATCAAGTCACGTAAGCTACTCCATAAAATATTAATGGAACATGATTTGATTGGAAACATTTAAATAGTTATGTAGTTTGATTGATAAAATTAAAAGATTAATGGTTAAAATAAAAATAAGTAATAGTTAAGTGATTATAAGTATAATTTACCCTTATTTCAATAAAGAAAAATGCATCTTTGTTATTTTGTGTGTGTTTGCTTTTATATATTCTCGGGATTCTAAAACATGACTCGTCAATATAAGGTTATAAAATAATAAAAAATTTATTAAGTGTTTAATAATTTAGGTTTGATAAAATAATATTTTATATTAAAATCGAAAATATTATATTTTTATAATATAATCTCGAAAATTATTTGATCAAAAATACAAAAATTAAAATATAAAAAACAAAAAACCGAAGTTAATCGAACCATACATGTAACCACTAAACACAAGAAAAAATTCAACGTAAATAGAACCCTAATCATTCTTTATATTGAAGCAGAAATAGAGGATCGTTAACAAATGTATGCAAAATGATGTCAGAGAAATATTTATTTATAAGGTAAATTATGTGAATAGTTCTTTTTGTTTAGGGTTTATCCGATTTTGATCACTAATTTAAAAATTAAAGATAAATGATTCCTAATATTATTGGTCCGTCCGACTTAAATTTCTTCTTCGTTAGTCCTTAACGAATATGTGACATAGTCGAAGGACTAAAATCAAATGAATTGATTTTAATATATGAATATGACTGATTTACAATTTTTAACACAGTGGTGTATGAATCTGTTGAAAAGCTTTTTTCCATTGCCGGGAATTGAACCCGGGCCTCTGGGTGAAAGCCAGATATCCTAACCACTGGACGACAATGGAAGACGCTGTTAATTGTTATTTTCATTATATTCTCCGTCAGACACATAGAAAGCAATAATAATAGTCACAAACGTCCCTTTCATGTCATGGAAGATCCTTGCATTCATCTGATCCTTCGAAGTTACAATGATGGTTCGGGATTACAAATTATTATTCTTTCAAATATGACAGTTACCCTTGGATATATGGGTATTTCAATCATTATACAGTCTCTTTCTTTCTCCGGTTCCAGGCTTGTTTCTTCAACTGGTATGCCCCCGTGATGGTCTTTAATGAAATAATAATTAATTGTATTCAAACAATTTCAAAATCGGAAATATACAACTAAGAATCACATTTTTAGGTAATTTGCAGGTCGAAAGAAGCTACGGAAAAAGTTTTATCACTTACAAACTGAAACACTTATGGCTGTCAAAAGATCTGTGGTAATGCCAACTAGTAGTCCATTAAGGACATACCTCTCAATATCCCTTATAACATCATCTTTCTCAAGACATGCACACATCATGAAATTCCATCCCAAGTCCCACATACAATTCAAATCGGGTTCCTTGTAGTTGACATCGACCTCAACCATTTCCGGTAGGTAGTCTTTGAAGGAAGTATCTCCCTTCCGTATAACTTCAACTTATCAAAATCTTTACACATTTTGCTCGACCATGTTGTCCATGGATTTTGCTTAGTTTGAAGCGACGATCGATGCTTTCAAAAATGGGTGAGCACTTAGTTCCTGCCTTCTTCCTTTCCTTTTCATTACTTCGTAGCCACAGTCCAGGACGAGCTTGCTTTCTTGCTCATGATAGTTTCCACCATTTCCGAGCAGACTGGTCATAGGAATGCTGACCTTGAAAAGCGCCTTTGCAGTGTTCATAAGTAGTTGGCTTTCCATAAGTATATGCTTGAATTGATCTTCACTTTCTGTCAATGGCTCTGGCGTCTCTGATGTATAAATTCTTTGATGCTGTGGCTTTTCATAAACATTTGCTTCAGTGGTTCCTTCTTCCCAAGGCACCCACCAGACTAGAAGTATAAAACGAAAACACCTTGATGCTGCCATGATTATGGCCTTGATTATTAGAAAGATTAGTAGAAAATTCAGGGTTCCCTAAGAGGGAGGTATAGTATAATTAAGTTTTTATGGTTGTTGAACCTAATGTGATTTATAAGTTGAAGGGGGAAATGTGTGAAAAGAATGGATCAGATGCACTATTCTTAAATTGGCTCTTCCAAAATCAGGTTGTTGATCTTGCTGTTCATTTGCAACCATTGGCACTGAAGCTTGAGCCTCCATAAGATCAAAAGAGTTGACAAATATTCATTTATATACATTGAAGCAGGGAAAAGAAAATAGATGGAATTTGCGGTAGGACTGGTTTGGTTAGTAAAGTCAATAAAAATAAATTCCATTGCCGGGAATTGAACCCGGGTCTCCTGGGTGAAAGCCAGATATCCTAACCACTGGACGACAATGGATTGATACTCTTGGTTTTCTCTTAGAAAATTAAATCGAAAGCATATATTTCATTAGCTCATGCAAGTTTAGGTTCCGGTATCAAGTCAGTTCAATTTCATCTCAGAAATTATGCCTGTGTTTTCCATATAGTTTTGCTGCCATATTTATGATATTTATATTCATGTCATTTTAATTGCATCCAATCATTCCACTACATTATTAAATACCATTATAATATTCTCACTTGAACTTCTATTCATAATCATAACGAACATAAATTCTTACTAACTATAATATTTATAAAATATTAAAAATTTGAATAAAATGAACTTAAGTAGTTAAATAATTTGTTATTATTCCTTAGGTTCTGGATTTGAACATCACATTTGTAAGGATATGAATGTTCATTGTCGAAAGCTTAAAATTCATTGAATAAACATTATCTTGTATTCCACCTCAAATTTACCAAAATAAAAATTTGAACAATTTCATCGAAAACGTTTTTGACCAACTCTCGTCGACTTGAGTCTACTACTATTTGTTGAACATATTATTCAATAGAATCAATATTGTATTAGCGTATCAGTAAAACTCAATTTCTTCGATTTTCTTCACCAAATTGGCGTTCATTAATACTTGATGTATAAAATTAAAGCAGAACTTGAATTTTATTTTTACTCTAATACAAGGTTGATTTCACTGACAACATGTTTAAAGAATAATAGCATACTTCAGTATACGAGAAACCAGTCGAATACTTTTTGAATAGAAATGTTCAAAACTTTAATACTTTATAAATATTTTTAAATTTTATTTTTTTAATCTTTATTATATAGTTCCTAATCTCTTTAATTTTATATTGTTTACTTAAATTTTTATTATGTTTTAATTTTAATATTTTATGAATATTTTAATAATTTTCTAATATTTATAAATTTCTTAAAATTTTTAATATTTTTTATAAGATCCAATAATCTATCAAACTTTTATTTAAAATTAATCGTGTCTTCGAACTCGATAAAAAAATCAATAAAACCCCTTTACTACTGTCACACCCCACTTTAGGGGCTAAATTTTTTTAGTTTAAAAGTATCGAATTAAAGTTGTAAAATGAAAAATTTAGGACCAAATTGTAAGATTCTGAAAATTTTGGGCTAGTTTTAAAAATCTAGGAAGTTCAAGGACTTAGCCCTGAATTTTCCCTTTTTGGATAATTAATATTTTCTCCCCCGATCGGGAGCAAATCCCCAATTTATCAAACCCCCCAACCCGCCTCTACCGTCACTGCTCCCGATCCACCCTACTCCGGCCGGCGGTGTACGTCACCGCCCGTCCTAATTGAACCGGCGTCCCACCCTGACCAAAACCCCTCAACCCTCGTCCCCAGATCGACCGTCAAACGTCGTGTAAAGCCCGACAAAGCTTCGACAAAAACACTTCGATCGTCGTTCGGTTAACCGTAAATTTCGGTCGCCTCGGTCATCGGTTCACCTCACCGCTCCACAGTCGGACTCCTCGTCGTCGTGCGCCCAAAACCCGACCAGGTTCGTTACCTATCATCATCGTTTTCGTTAACCTCCGACATTGGTAAGTCTCGATCGATTTCTGGTTGTTTGACATGGTTTTGGTTGATATTGGTGAGTGGTAAACAAGGAGAATCGACCGACCACCCCGAGGTTGTCATCGTTGCCACGCGCCTCTGCATGCGTGTGGGCTTCATTTCAGCCAAGTATTCTGGAAGCTGAGTCCACTCTGACCGAGTTGACCGAGTCAACTCAGACCGAGTCAATTTGTTGATCGTTGACTTTGACCGGTCAGACCATTGACTTTGACTTTGATAGACAAAGTCATCGCTAAATGGATTTTAGGGAGACAAATATTTATGCCAATGGTCTTTATTTTATTACTGCATTGCAACGATATCAGGGAATGTCGACGTGCTTGATTCGTGGTTCAAAACCCTTATGGACGGTACAATATATAAGATCATCAATGTTTCCAGACTTATCCAAGTTATTTGCTTAATTCAAGGTCATTGGGGGTACTTAAATCAATTTGTGTTCACGTTTATTTCGATCACTTCGGAGATTCCAGAGTAATTCTATCGTTTTAACAAATCGAATACGTACAATACTTCCATTCAATTCAACTTTGTCATTTCGATCAATTCAGACATGTAAGATACTTTCGGTAATTTAGCCTACGGGTGTTTGCTCAGGAAAATAGAAATTTTAAGTTTTTTACCATCTCAAGGATCATGATCGATTAACATGATTATTATCACTTTCCGGGAAAATCCTTATCTTTTATATCATACTGGTATTTTTCGTCGTTTCTTATCCAAGCATTTCCGACATTTAACCTTTAATGAGATTAATCAGAATTTACGAGTCTCGAGATTAATTGATTTCCTGATTAAATTACTGAACTTAGATTTGTTTTCAATCGGTCTACCAATTTCTTTTACAAGCCGTCTGAGTCTTATACAATGTTCCGTCTTTATTCAAAATTTAATTTGAGTCCAATTATAATTAACTACATCTTATGGACCAATTATTTCCATTCACACATTTACCAATTATCAATGTGTTACGGAAAACATGCAAAAGGTAGTAGAGTATTACCTCGATTTCCATGCTCAACCGATCAAACATTTAATCTCCATTCGATCGTCCTTTAACTTTAATCCAATGTCCAATAATTTCTCAGATACAAAGCAAACGAATTTACGTCAGAAACTGAACTTAATTCAGAAACCAACTTGAATCCGAAGATAAAACACTGAAAAAATGGCTTACCGAGTGCGAATTTGGAAAAACAGACTTCAGTTTCGGACGTCAAAAAACATAAAATAAAATTTTAGAAAAATTTTGACTTTTTCGATCAAAGTCAACGGTTAGACCGGTTAATGGTCAACGAGTTGACTATGACTGAGTTGACTCAATCAACTCGGTCATAGTTGACTTAGCTTCCAGAATACTCGGATGACTCGGCTGAAATGAAGACCACGCGTATGCGGAGGTGCATGGCGACGGTGATGTCCTCGGGGTGGTCGGTTGATTCTCCCTGTTCAAGCACTCACCAATATCAACCAAAACCATCAACCAAAACCATGTCAAACAACCGAAAATCGATCGAGACTTATCAACGCCAGCGGTCGACGAAATTGACGATGACAGGCACAAACTCGGTCAAGTTTTGGGCGCACGACGATAAGGAGTCTGACTGTGGTAGCAGTGAGGTGAACCGATGACCGAGGCGACCGAGATTTATAGTTAACCAAGCAGCAATCAAGGTGTTTTCGTCGAAGCTTTTCCGTGCTTTACACGACGTTTGACGGCCGATCCGGGGATGAGGGCTGAGGGGTTTTGGTTGGGGTGGGACGCTGGTTCAATTGGGACGGACGGTGATGTACACCGCCAGCCAAAGTAGGGTGGATCGGGAGCGGTGACGGGAGAGACTTGTTGGGGGTTTCATAAATTAGGGGTTTAGGGATTTGCTCCCGATCGGGGGAGAAAGTATTAATTATCCAAAATAATGGAAAATTTAGGGCTAAATCCTTAATCTTCATAGATTTTTGAAACTAGCCCAAAAATTTTAGAAACTTACAATTTGGTCCTAAAATTTTTCTTATTACAACTTTAATTCGATACTTTAAAACTAATGAAATTTAGCCCCTAAAGTGGGGTGTGACAACTACGTCATCATTCACATGTAGACTGTCACATTAACACCATAATAATTATCTCTCATCAATATGAATTTACCACTATTTATTGAACATATATTCAAGAAAATCAATCATGTATTAGAGTAACAATAAAACTCAAGTTCTCCTTCGATCGTCTAAATCAAATTGATGCTCATTAATATTTGGTGTAGAAAATTGAAGGAGAAATTGAGTTTTATTGTTACTCTAATACAAGATTGATTCTACTTTGTAACATGTTGAAAGAATAGTAGTAGACTTAATGTAGGTGAGAGATCAGTCGGAGACTTTTTTTTATATAGAAATGTACAAAAATTTTATACTTTATAAATATTCTTAAATTTTAATTGTTTTATATTTTATAATTTATCATTTTATAAGTCCTAATCTCTTTAATTTTACAATATTTATTTAAATATTTATTTTAAATATTTTTTATGAATACTCTAATAAATTTTTAATATTTATAATTTGTTAAGTTTTTAAATATTTTATTTAAAGATTAAATCCTCAAATTTTCAATTAAAATTAATTTTACCTTCAAGATCGATCAAAATATCAATAAAATCTCTCTACCACATTATTAAATGATTAAATAAATTCAATGAAAAATTGGATACAATTAAAAATTAGTGATAAAATTACTGATTTGAATTTATTAAACAAACAAAATAAACCCTTAAATTAAGGGTGTACATTATCGGATATCGAATATTATCGATATGAAATTTCGAATATCCAAAAATTTGGATCATTAAAATTGTGATCCATATCCGATATGAAAAAAAATCAGATATATGAATTTCCGGATCGAATATCCAGATCCTAATACAAATTTTATTTTAAAAAAAATTAAATTTATTATTTTGTGACTTTATAATAAAATATGGTATATACCTATCAAAACATATTTAAACAATTTCAAAATAAATTATTGATAAAAAAATATAATACATATATTTATCAAAATATAATTTATCAAATCTGGGAAACTAAAAATTAAAAAACTGTTAGACACGAATAAATCTGCATATATTAAATTTTAGAACTTGTTTTGAAAATATATATTAACTTGTCTTAGATATATATTATAAAATACATATCAAAGTTGCACGGTAAGGTTGGATATTTCATGATAGGGGTAGGTTGGCTAAGAATACTGGGCCTGGGTAAAAAAATTTAAAAGTCCTTTTTTATTAGATTTTCGGATAATCCAAAATTATAATTTATTTAATTCGTATCTGATTCGAATATTTGATTTTTTTTCTCGAATATCTGATCTGAAATATCCAAAAATTTAAAAATAGATTAGATATTTATTTTTTTATCGAAACAACGGATCGGATAGATCGGATTACATTTTTTTGCACATCCCTACCTTAAACTAATTAAATAATATCTTTATTATAGTTATCCTCCATATTGAAAGAAGATTATTAATTACTCATCAAATTATATGGTTTAGATTTGAAGTGATTTGAGTATGTAACCTACCTAACATACAATAATACTTGTAGGAACTCCAGTGATGATTTGAGGTGATGCAATTTCTAACCTACTATTCTTTTCATTACTTAAACACATTGTTTAAGTGCTTATGTTGCAATTTCCACTCAATTGTTTTCACTTAATACCATTAAGTGGTGGGAGTTTTGTCATTTCAGTCTTCTTACACCATCTTCTAGTAAAGAAAAAAATCATTATGCACCTATTTTCGGTAAAAATTCTTTATGTACTAAAACGATTTTCTAGACATAACAATTTTTGTATTAAACCAAATTCAAATAAACCAATGAATTTACCCTGTTGTCTACCATCAATTATTTGCCACTTTTGACCAAAAACAGAGAGAAATAAGAATGGAATTATTTTCACTTGCATACAAAAAAAGGTACCATAAAAGATTACATTTTTAAGGATGAAAAATACATCAAACAAGGTAAATGGCAATTAATTACTAATAATATATAGTAATTCTTAACCCTAGTAAAAGCATCCTTGCCAATATTGCCATTTCCCTAACCCAACAACAAATGATCTTTCACTTCATCAATTAGTATTGAAACATGTCTGGGGAGGCCATGATGGGGTGTTGCTGGTTAAGGCAAGCCAAATTGAAAGGGTTGAATTCCATAGCCTCTGTTTCATATACCCCATTGCATGCTGTGGGGTTGTTGATATGGTCGAGGATCTCGTTTAGCGACTCCAGTCTTTGACTCAGTTCCATCATCTGAGCCCTCAAGACCGAGTTCTCGGCCTCCATGCTCATATACTGCTGGGTGGTGAAGCCGATGCTGCTCTGGATTCTGTTATTATCACTTTTCAGCTTGGTTATTTGAGCCACTAAATCATCTACGTGCTTCTGTTTTCTCATCCTCGATCTCCTCGCTGATTCTCGGTTCGATTCCATTCTCCTTCGTTTTCTTTGATGATCGGACCCAGAATTCTGTTGTTGCGGAGATGAACCTGAAGAATTGGAGATGGATTTTCCACTGGATGAAGCCATGTGAAGTTATTCTATTTACGCCAAAATCACTGATCTAACCTAGAAGACGATCGATATAGGACCCTGATGCTAATAAACTAGAAAGCGAGAGAAAACTATTTCGGAGAAAACATAGAACCAATAGAGGAAAACAACTGAGAAAGATTGAACGAGATGGATCTTGCGTCTGAAGGAGGAATTTATCATAAACCCGGATCGGAGGATTTCACTGACAACCGGAGACATGAATCCCGAACATCAACAACAAAAACTTATGCAGCATCAAGATTTACACGCACGACACAGAAGAAAGAAACAAGAAAAAGAAAACTTTTTTTTTTTGGCAGGAAAATATCATCAACAACACAAATCTTAGCAAAAAAAGAAAGTGTTTTTTTTACAATGGGTTTTTGTTAGACTCCAGAATTCAAAGTTTAACAACCAAAACCCACCAGGGCAAAGACACCCAGAAAAAGGATATTAAAAGAACAGAGAAAGAAGCCAAGGAAAATATAGCAGAAGCTCAGCTGTACAAGAAACACGAGAACTCTCTAAGGGGAAGATAGCAGATATGGAAGAGGTTCTTCAGTGAACTGAGAAGGCAATATATAGAAGGAAAAGGAGAAATTAAAAATAAAATGTATTAATTAGTAATTAAAAATCTGAATAGAATACAGGGTAAACTACATCTAATGTCACTTAATTATGGATTTGGTAATAAATATGTTATTATTTTTCTAAATGTTATAAACTAGTCATCTAGTTAAAATATTATTACAAATATGTCACTACTCACTTTGTTAAAATTAAATTAGATGTCCAAGATAGCATGATATAATAATATTTTAATACCAAAATTTATACATTCTATTAGTTTTGTACTAATCCAAAAAATTCTATAAATTTGACCTTTTATATTTAAAGATTTCATCAATTTAATCTTTTTTATATCATCAAGCTAAATACGTCTATCAAATCAAAGTAGTTAGATAATTATATTATATCATAAAACAATAGCAAGTTACTGTTAAATTATTATTATACCTAAAAATAATAAGGAGGTAAATATAATATTTCTGAAAAAGAACAAGGTAATTTAGGAGAATAATAAATACTAAAATGATAAATTTTTTAAATATGAACGGTTATATTTATTGAATTGTTTCACATTAAGATCAAATTGATAAATTGTATAAATTTTAAGGACTAAAATTATTATTGTATCATATCATATCACTATTCTATCTAATATTTAATAATAGAATGACTGTTTTATAAAAATATTTTAATTAAATAACTTATTTGTAAATTTTTAAGAAATAATAATATTATTATCAAATTTATAATTAAGTAATATTGTGTACAACTCACCCTAAAATATTAAGGACTAAAGTTATATATAGTAACAATATATAAAGGTATATGTAGTAATATTAATTCTGTGGGTTTCTGATTGTTGTGAAGAATCGAGAAAAACATGTCATCATACCTAATAGCACCAAAGTTTTTAAAACAAAAATTCTTATTTGGACCACAATCCCGGAAACGCTTCACAGGCCCCACCATCCATTGCAAGCCATCATGATTGATATGATCAAAATCATATTTAATATTATATTTTAATTTCGTCTTAATCGTTTTTGTTTTATTTCAGCTGACTAACTTATTAGCAGAATCTTCATTATTATCTTGTTTATGAAGGATCACAGAATGAAAAGACGATAATAATAAGAGAAAATAATCTCAGTGATCAAAAATGTCTTATAATATACGATTTTAATTAACTTTTTTTGGATTTGTAAAAATGACCAACTAAATCGCAATGCGATCGATAATTCACAACGCGATCTCCAGTATCGCAAATCAGTTTCCAGATTCGCAACGCGATTCTGACTATCGCATTGCGATTTCCCAAAATCGCGTTGCGATTTTCCTAAATCGCAATGCAATTACATAAATCGCAATGCGAATACGTAAATCACAATGCGAATCTGACTATCGCAATGCGATTTACATAGCGCCATTCATATTAACGCGTATTTTTTTTTCAAATTCCAAACACGAATATATTAATATATCGGAACACTGAACCGTCCACAGTATATCCCGTAATCGCAACTCATAACCTAAAACCCTAAATCACAACTCAATCTCATCTCCATCTCTCACTCTCTAAAGCGACATCCGTCCCTATCTCCGACGAAATCAGCCCCCACGACGATAACAGTCTCCATCTCCGGCGAAATCATTCACGGTCAGAAATGAAAAATCAACCAAATCAACCACCGAGGGTTAGTTTTTTTAATTATTTTTATTTTGAAATTTTTGCATTATTATTAGGTTTTTCATATTGAAATTAATGATAAGTTTACTGGTGTTTTCAATAATAGATTAACCATTTCACTTAGATTGCTTATTATATTCGTTCGATTGCTGCCAATACTGCTAAACTGTTTAGTCTTTAACCCTGTGAAGTTAGTATTTGTCTTTGTTTTGTCTTTTGGTTGAAGTAATGCAATCCATTCAAGTTTCTTTCAATTTTAGTATTTGAAACCGAGAATGACTATCGCAACGAGTGAATCGCAAAGCGAAAATGACTATCGCAATGGGAATTTGACTATCGCAATGCGAATTTGACTATCGCAATGCGAATTTGACTATCGCAATGAGAGAATCGCAATGCGATTTTCATTTCGCGTTGCGATAGTCAAATTCGCGTTGCGATAGTCATTTTCGTGTTGCGATTTAAAGTTTCAGAAACTATTCTTCTTCTGCAAATTGAAACTTGAATGAATTGCATTACTTCAACCAAAAAACAAATACTAAATTCACAGTGTTGCAAATTTAAGTTTGAAGAATAAACTACTACTCTTTATGTTTATTGTTCATATCTTCACAGTGTAGGTTTTGGTATATTTAAATTGGTATGTTTATTGTTTTTGCAGAACTTTTATTCGGCTCAATTGACCTTAAGAAATAAAGTAATCCTGGCCAAAACAATTGCGTCGAAGCTTACACATGCACAAAGAAAAATATTTGAGGATACTTGCTTCGGGTCATGGCTGAAAGTACAACATCCGGGTGGAGATGCTATGTTGACCCATCTGTTTCTTCAAACCATGACTAGTGATCTACCAGAGACTATACAACGTCGTGATGAAGAGATATGGTTTGATTTTCCACCGGCTTATACGTGTTTTGGGCGGGAGGAGTTTTGCTTAATCACTGGTCTACGCTTCGGACACGATGATGTAGATCGATACACTAGACATATTACCCGCCTATCATGGTTTTCCCGGGTTTTTCCTGAGCAGTCAACGGAGAAGTCGAATTTACACGTGGAAGACTTGACGAGATTATTAAATAAGAAAGATGGTTTTACTCGGATGGATGACGTCGATGTTGTCCGAGTATGCCTTCTAATACTTTTGCAAGCCGACTTTTTAGGCAGAGAGGACCGACAACCTATTCCTAATGATCTAATTAAATTGGTAGAGGACCTAAATGCATGGAACCTATTTCCGTGGGGTTCGTATCTATGGATAGCTACATGGAATAAGTTGTCGTCTGCCTTTAATGATCGGAAAAGTTTGCGTGGCGATGGTTCAAAATACACTTTGTCAGGCTTTATTTGGGCCTTTAAGGTAATAATTTTTATATAATGTTTCCAAAATTATAATTAATTCTTTAACAATTACTAATGTTTGTTATTATATTGTTTGTAGATTTGGATATTTGAGGCATTTCCCACCATGCGGACATATGCATTAAAAACTTCTAATGATATTCATAGGGCTATTTCCTGGAAGAGGAAACGGTCCTTGCAGCAATGGGAAGATTTACTACCGTATACTACAATAAATAATGTAAGTTAACACAAATACTACCATATGTTTATAAAAAAGTTATTACTAGTACACGTTTAACTTTGTTTGAGCTTTTATATTGTTAGGAGGCCAACACTCCATTACAGAGGCTGACACCCACGAAAGCTGAGCTTGCCACTGATTGGTGGCAAGCTAGTAAGCTTTTTTTTATGGCACGGATGATGAGCAGCCACCACTTCGAGAGCCATCACCTCACCCAGAGCCATCACCTGATCGACCCGAATATACACATCCACAACGAGAGTCATCACCTATTCTGTCACATCATCGAACCTCTTCTTCACCATCACCTCATGATAGGTGACCAGCAAAGATGCCACGACGTTTATCTCCCTGTTCTCCACCTCCACCTCCACGGGATGAGTTAGGGGAGTTACGTAATGAGGTCAATGCCTTGCGTGAGAAGGTCGGTACTTTACTCGATGACAATGGTGCATGGCGTGTTGAGATGTCTACTTTACGTGGTGAGGTAGCAGCTCTACGTGAGATTGTAGCATCGTTGCAGAACGAGGTTCATACTCTATGCAACGAGGTAAGTTTAATATTTTTCATATTTAACTTGATGATAAATTTACTCGTAATTTCACTTAGATTGCTTAGTAAATTCATTCGGTTGCTGCCAATACTGTTTAACTGTTTATTCTTTAACCCTGTGAAGTTAGTATTTGTTTTTGGTTGTCTTTTGGTTGAAGTAATGCAATCCATTCAAGTTTCAATTTGCAGAAGAAGAATAGTTTACTATCGCAATGCGAAAATGACTATCGCAATGCGAATTTGACTATCGCAACGAAAGAATCGCAATGCGAAATGAAAATCGCATTGCGATTCTCTCGTTGCGATAGTCAAATTCGCATTGCGATAGTCATTTTCGCGTTGCGAATTTAAGTTTCAGATTCTATTCTTCTTCTGCAAATTGAAACTTGAATGAATTGTATTACTTCAACCAAAAGACAAATACTAACTTCACAGTGTTGAAAATTTAAGTTTCAAGAATAAACTACTACTCTTTATGTTGTCATTGAACCTGCACTAAACCTATATGTTGTCCTTTTAAATGTTTATATAAGTGCTTACTTCTGGAATGTTATCTGATGCATTTTGTGAACAATGATATAATAATGACTTGGGTGAATACCGTGCAAGTTTGAAATATATTTGTCTTTGTTCTCACTGTTTAATATCATGTCTGTTTATTTACTGATTTATGTATTAATTTATTTTTAGTGGCCCGCTAAGGTGGATGCTCTACGTCAGGTTTTTCTTGCAAGACGGAGTTCACGCATCAGACAGCGTGCACGTGCCATTACGTCTCCGTTCACCCCAATAGTGCGAAGAATTCGTAAGAAAAAGCCCGACTCACATGTCATTGTTCAAGAGGCCTCCCCTATCGTTCAAGAGGCCCTTATCATCCCTCAAGAGTCCCCTCCCACCGTTCAAGAGGCCACTGTCATCGTTGAAGAGGTCCCTCCCAACATTCTAGACCCCGATTCACACGGCGTAATATATCGAATTATTGAGAAGCCCCCTCACGTGTCGGACATGATGGATGACTGTTGGCTTCGTATAAGTTACCGGCCAGTACCATTCCGGCAGATGAAGTGGAGAGGAAACAACTACCGGAAACAATTCTGGATAATACCCTTTGGGCTAAGACCGCAGTTGATTTTTATATACATGAGCGGAGCCAAGGGTGTT